AATATAAATAAAAATGCTTTTTATTGTTGCTTTAAAATGCTTTGGAAACTATACAATCGAGGGTGAAAACATAACAGCGCATATATAAGTAGTCCCTAACCGGTGTTTATTGTCAGTTTAACACCAGTTTTTTTCCTTCTTTGTCTATAGTGATAAAATCACGTGAGTGTTAGAATATTGTATAGTAACCAAAAGGAATCATTGTACACATAATCAATGGCACTTACAACCAACGTTTATTACTAAAGGAGGTCAAAATATGAAAAAAATGACCTTACTGCTTTAGTAACGTGGTAAAAATATAGTTACACATAATGAAAAATTCACCATTAATCGCTCATAACATGTAAATTATTACTTGAATTTTGAATCTTTTTACTTTGCCTAAACTCTGTTTATACATAGACATATTAAAAATAACAGATACAAAAAGATAACGCTCCAAGCGCTTAAAGTTGCTTAGCACAAGAAAGCTGTTAATGTTGCAGATCTGTTTGAAAGCATATGTTATTATATGTTAGCAACCAATCGCATAAGTTCCGTAGTACCGGCTTCTGCAGACACATATAATATAAAGGTTTTAATTTGCTTTTGTATTGTTTTTTCTAATGCAATGAAATACAATTATTATAATAGAAAATTTTATTTGAAATGAATACAGAAAAAGTGTTTTACAAGAGGATATCCGTACGTGCTTTTATGATATCTCGGTCAGTGACTCCTTTTAAATGAGGAAAAGTATTAGATTAATCCCTTTTTTGTCTTTCCCATATTATATTTCAATGAACATTTGACAGAGTAACCCTAGGCTGCCTTTCAAAATACATCGGTCAATGACTTATTTTAATCCAATGACAGCTAAGACAATATCTGTCAATTATTGTCGATGTTTCTTTGCACTCAAACACTGTTTTGCTGCTTAAAGCGTATAATTCGAACGCTCGGTCAGTGTTCTATAAAAATTTGCCTAGAGATCAGGAGATTTTTAACAGAACAACATAATAACGGAATTAAAACTGTTTATGTAAGCATGAAAATCAGAATTAAAAAATGAAAATGTATACGTTAAAAGTTCATTTACACAAATAGGAATTAAAACCTTTATAGTATCTTTAGATTGATAATTGATGGCATTTTTACTGTTATACAAAGAACAGCATTTAAAGAACCTGACCCATGCCGGAGAATACCTGCGTAAACTCAACAGGTCATACCCATATATTGAACATGTGGTCAATAGAAACCATTCAATGGCGTAGATTTATTAACCAATTTTTATTAAATTTGTACTTGCGAAAAAAACACAATGTAGTGCTTTTGTGCGATAGTTTTTAAACTATACAAAAATAGTTTAGTTCTTTTATTTTATTACTATTTTAGGTGCTTCCTTAAATTTATCTTGAATTTTCCATCTTGAGAGAAATTAAATGGATCAATATCTTTAATAAAGTTTTTAACAGATATGGTTATAACATTTGAATCAAATATTAAATAATATGAATTATGTCGAATCTGAATGACGACACAATATTAAACAACGCTACTGTAAAGGCTCATTATCAAGATTCCAATAGAAAGCTCTGATTCCTTAAAGTCTGGGTTAGTTTATCAAATTTGATGCAATGGATGCAATTATGGTAGTTAATTTATTCATATTTAAAAAGCACTACATCTAAATATCATTTAAATAGCATCTTTACTGCAAACTAATTCTTGACAACGTTATTGTTAACATTTTTTATCCATTGATGCTGTATATTTCTAATCTGTAACATTTTTAAATTTACAAAGATTTCAAATATATTTCACGATAAAATGATATATATTCTTGATATAAACGTACATGTATCATGTTTAAAGGTACATTGGTTTTGCAAGCTCTATTGTGAATGTACGTTTCAATTAATAGTTCCATTTTAAAAGGAAGCTCTTGTGTTTAATCTGTAAATTTATATTCTGTTTTCGTGCTTTTCAAATCCATACAAAGTCTAGAACGTCATTTCTTTAATGGATTTCGCAGACTTTATCCTCAATTAGGTGACATTAACCTTCAGTATATTAATACAAAGTGCCACGCTAAAAATTAGATACTATCCATTGTCCTCTAAAGATCCTTTTCTTTTCAATTCTTGTTATAAGCTTATGGTCATAGAACATATTTATGACAGAAAATATCTTGATTATTTAATTACTTCGTCATGAAACTTTTACAAACAAAGCAAAACGAGATCACTTCAGAATGTTAAATGTTTTTTCCTTATTGTTAAGCACCTTTTGTATCTATATGTGTAAAAAAATTCACATGGAGGAGAGGATTGATTTTTTTTAAAAGGCAAACTTTAAGTTTGATCTAGGAATTCTCCGGTCCATAATTTGTCTTTTTTAATTAAGCATCACACGTTGCATCTCTGTTATTTCAAAATATAAATATCTACCCGTATTTCTAACGATATTGAATTTGTCGTCTCTTTATTCCTCACATCGTTCATTCTATCATTTATTCGTGTAAACTGATGCTGTGTAGCGCCCTGTAACAGTTACAGAGTATCAATATATATATTTATTTTATGCTTTTCAGTGGATTACTGATTTATCCGTGAAAATTATATTTGATAATTTCACAGTGAAAATTATCAAAATATAATTTCACTTTTTTCAATGACGAAACTACTTTTTTAAGATTTTCCCCATGTGGTACCTCAATTCTATTTTTACTGACAATTCTGACAATATCAGGCTGTTAAAAAAATAGCAAAGCTGAAATAGATAAATAACATAAATGTCAAAAGTAAAATAAAGAGAGAAAACTTATTTCTATTCCTTCAAATTCCAATCACAAAATTTCGTCTCTAAATTTTTTTGTTTCGTTTTTACAGTCTGAAAAATACATTCCTACCCCATGCAAAACTGCTCTTGATGACATTTGGGCATATTAAAGTATCCTACGAGCAATAACTGCCGTATGCTTTATGAAAAATTGAAAAGCATTGACAGCTATCACTCGTAAAATAAGTAAATCTACCCAGCGTTCCTTACAATGCCTTAGCAAACTTCCAAGTTTTCCATTTTCCTAGCTCCTTTAATGAATGTTTTCACTTCTGTCAACACTTATTTTTTGTCTGTTACAATCCTCAAATAAGTTTTCTTTCTTTTAAAAAGGTGTATGACTAACAATCCAAATTATATCCTTCTGTATCTTACACAATTATTTTCCTCCCATGAAATACACGACTTTAAAAAATGGCTGCCGTTTACATTTTACAAAGCCAGGTCTAATATAAATTCGCAGTAAGTAACAGAAATATGGATGGATGGTTGGACTTTTTCTCCTACAAGAATTGTTTGTTTTTATTATTAAAACAAGCGATCATTCATATTTTTTAATAAAATGAATAAATATCACATTCATTTAACCTCCATTGGCGGACTTATTTTTCAGCTCAAGACTTCTTGTTTTTAATGAGAAATTCCCTCTAAATGGGGCTCTCAATGGGGGAAACAGATTTTAATATCAACGTTAAAATTATGGATATTTCGTTTTAACTTGTTTTAAAGCATAAAATAAAAAGAAAATTTGTCTGTTTGTTGTGTAAGATGTAATTTTATTTCATCTCGTGAACTTTAAAAACAGTATTCTCACTCGTGGCTACGCCACTCGTGAGAATACTGTTTTTAAAGCCCACTCGATGAAATAAAATTTCATCTTACACACAAACAAACAAATATCCTCTATATAATTATATATATTAAAATGCGAAGAAAAGATGGATTGAACTATGAAACTTTATTATGTGGTGATTATTTTTTAAAAGAATCATTAGTTCATACACCTTAAATGCCGATGAACAACCTCCATTATGGAATACATTTATAAAATGAGCAGATAGTTTACTTGTTGTTAAAATGGAATGTTATCAGATGCACAACTGTAAATGAAATCGAAAGAATAAGCTATAAAATAAAACACCATACAAACACGACTGTAACTCTATAGACTTTGCCGATAATACCCTATCATTGCAACAATGTTACAAAAGTAGAAGAATTTAAAAATGTAAACAATCATTTTGATGGAAGGCTCTTAAAACATTTATTTCTTCTTCAGCCAGTCAAAAGATTTAAGACCAAAACAAACATATTTAGTACCAACAAATTACATTTTTCTGACGAAAAGACAGCACATCTCCAATATGAATACTTTCTGCAGCAGACACAAGCCGACAACTCAGGCAAAGCTGTCCCAAATCTTGGTCCTCCGTTGCATGGCAACACCCTATCTGAACTAGTTCTTACTCCAAACGTTGATTTAAATGTTCCACTTTTAGGCAATTGACACCTTTCTGACCAAACTAATATCATAAGGTTTCACACGTAAACACTTACACAAAAGAGACAAAAAGATTCATTTAACATTCAAACACATAACTTTTATTTTTCTTTATTTGAAACACCACTTTATTGATCTTTCCCCTTCTTAACGACCCATGCATCTTTCTGGGTTCTTTTTATATACTATTCTGTTGTGTATGTTTATATACATATATCTTGTTTAAAATACATAAGTATTTTACCATCAAACGTAATTCTTCTTTTTTCTCTTGTATGTCCAATAGACTAAATAAGGTCGGCTTTTCTTTATTCGAGTCAATAATGTATTCTTTATACATGTATTAGATGGAACGTTACTGTGTTCCTTCACGCATATAAGTACACATCTGTATTCATGTTTTCAACATTTTGTTTCATATTTATCTCAGATTATTCGATATGTTATGATTTAAGCGCCAATTATATGTCAAGAAGAATTCAGAAGACACTTTGTCTTCCATTGTAATCCTATTGTGTAAGAATATTTAAAACGCTTTGTGTATGTTTTAAAGTTAAACATATATATATATTCTCAAAAAAATGTTAAAACTATATATGTACACATATTATGCAGGTGTCTTTGATGCAATTCAATAACAAATTAGAACAATATTTACAATGTCTCATTTCAGGAACTTCTGATCCTCCTTTGACAAAGACCAATGAGGAGGCGGTCAGATCGCTACTTGTTATCACAGGAAGTCCACCATCAAATCCAAAATATGAAGATTTCAAGGAAATTGTTAGTCGTTATGGGGAGCGAGAGCCTTTTAGCTTCCCTAATCCTTTCAATTTTCAGAGAAAAGTAGGATTTTATTCTACAATAACAAAAATTAAATTTTTTACATTATTGTTTTATTTTTACATCCGTTTCGTGTTAATGGGGACGTGTAAGGTTTGTTTTACAAATTCGTTGTAATTTTGCTTAAAGCAGAATTCATTTCAATCAATGTTAAAAGTGTGATCATGTTTTACACATCAAGTGTTATAGTATTATTGAACACATTTCTTTGTTTTTGGAACAGATTTTTCAAAAACACTACCGTCCATGCTAATGTAAGAAAACTGAGTCGTCAAGTTTGTGTTTCCTTTTGTTTTATGATATTCATTTTACATGTGAGTACGTTTGACTGGATGCTTAATAAAGTAAAATAATTTCTGACAAAGAAAATACTATTTATTTGACTTTATCATGACTAAGTTGTTAAAACATACAGGTATATGATGATATTGATGGCAGAAACTATGTGTGCGAGTGTTGTTTGTTCAAGGTTTATTCTTTAAAATGTAATCATTGGGCAACACATTTGATAATGGATAATATCCACTCAGATTTTATATATTTTTATATTAAGTATTTCCTTTTTCTAGAAAAGTAGTCTTTTCTTCCATTTAAACTTTTATGTGGATTTCCCTGAGTTTGAATGTTTAAGTTATTTCTGTATTAAGACTGACCCTTTGGTGTGGAAAATATTTTATCTTACGAATGCTGTGATTAATATAAAGGGAAAATTTTTTGGAAGTTTGTAGTCAGACTCAAAGTCACTCTGTCGTTTTATTTTTAGACTTTGTATTGTTTTATTGCTCCTTGAAGAGTTCCTGATTTAGGAATTTTACATCAATTGAATTGCAAAAGAATACCAGTTAATTACTTAACATTTCAATGTAGTTTCGTCTATTTTAAGCAAGGTGTTTTATTCATGTGCCAGCTAAACTTAGAAGATTTATGTCCTCATCACTGTTGTCTTGGGAATAATCATTTAGTTAATTAAAACAAAGCTTCTGAGTTAGTTGATACAAAATTGATGCCTATGTATAAGCCATAGTTTCGATCAAATGTTTCGGTAAATACTGTCTTGTGGAAATGATAAAATTGTCATATCATTGATCACATTTTTTCTAAGTTAGATTGTAGAATTTATTCATTTCACTTATTTTAATTCAACTCTTTCTGTAGAAGTACAAGTTAATTTTAATGTAAAATAAAATTTCCATTTGATTAAAGCTAACTATAAGAAATATCATAATTTTTAATCTGAACTTTTACTTTTTAAGATAACGGTTTATGCCGCATATCTGTATGATGCCGTGATGTTGTATGCTAAAGCTGCTCATGAACACCTTGAAGAGGGAGGAGATATTACAAACGGAACAGCCATTATACAAAGAATTCTTGGAAGCAATTATGTTGGTAAGTTGAGGTTAAGTTTAAATACGTGTTTTGTTTTTCAAAATATTTGTTGAAGTACCTTTTCGATAAAACACACACCATATTAAGGAATGGCTATGTTTTGATAATATTAGTCTGGATAATTTGTTTACTTCCATTGCAATAAGCTACACTGTTTTTGTGGGGATAATTTCATTATCTTGAATCTCTCGTTTATCTATGTCATACGTCAGACCACGGTTTCGATTTTGTAAAATTACTTCGATCACTAATCAAATAAGAAAAAGAAGCAGATGCTACCCTTTCCTAAGAAAAACCGCATTACTTGGTTATTTGTTCATGTGTTATGTTAAGCGGACATTTACAAATTCTGACTTAATCAGGCATGTATTCATTATTTGAAAATATTTAGTCATGTTTTTAAACATGTCATTAGATATCGATACCCTTGCAACCTATTTATAATAATTTCGAAATATTTATTTAAAAGAATAATTGTCTCTAAAAATATCCGTTTAATGAATACCCATCGTTGTAGCCAGTTTATGTTTTAAGCTGAATATAAAGTTATATATAATACAAAACCTTCAATGTCTATATCATTCCGTATTTTCAGCCTTTTGCTCAAAGCAAATTAAAATTTGTTCAAGCGTTGTAAAATATAAAAAAAACAACTTCTTTGTCTTTATAGAAACCACAATACATTATTTAGGTCATTGCAATAAGTCGCTATTAAATCTTTTAGTGAAACCAAAAAAACATATATTTAATAATTATAACAACGCTAGCCTTTTGTTCAAGTTCCTTACAATGTAATTGTACAAATGTTTCAGGGATCCAGGGTTATATATCTCATATTGATGACAACGGTGATGCCGAGGGTAATTATACACTATTGTCCAGGCAACCATACAAAACTAACCTGTCAGATTATTCAATGAGGCCAGTTGGACATTTTGAAATGGACAAGAATTATAACGGTTTACCAGTAAGTTTATATATCAGTTGTTGGTGAATTTTATTTAAGCTAATAATATGACATGAATGTTTTTAAATTGAGTGTTATATTAAATTTAATATTATGGTTAACATACAAGTTAAAGACGGATTAACCTCACAAATACGTTATTAAACATGCTTAACATAGTTTATGTTTTGAATAATGTTTTCACTAATTTGAAAGATGATTTAGATAAATGTGAATTTTAACTGTCAGTCCGATGATAATCGTCTCTGAATCTATGCAGAATAATTTTATGTTGTCTGACTACTATAATGTCGTGTGATAAATCAACAAATTAGCACAAGTGTTCGAGCGTTATAGGTTTCAAGACAACGAGCGAAAATCTTCCTCAAGAAATCGATGCTGCTTTGAATTTAATGACTACTTTACACATAATTATTCAGAATACAAGTGCGGGTGATTATAGAGCAAATACTGTTTTTTGATACATTATAGGAGGAAGACTAATCTGCAACATCCGAAACAAAATTTGAAATATCTGTCTTGATAAACAAATTTGTCTTGACTAATCGTTTTCTGTTCTTTTACATTCTCTTCTTATGACATTTACGAACATTTGAAATGTCTTCAAAAACACGATGTTTTACAATACAATAAATCATGTTATCATTGTCTTTTATGATATACTCGTATATATCCAGGTTTATACCTTTATATAGTTATTTCCGTTTTGTTGTATTATAGATGGTGTTTTCAGGTATTCAGAGTTTTACCAAGGAAGGACATATATTGGGTAAACGGGGAGCCTCCAATATATGAACCTGAATGTGGATACAGGGCTCAAAAATGTATTCCGCCAAAAACATACACCTTAGAAATATTAGGCGGGATTATTGGTGGAATAGCGTTGGTTGCAATCATAGTGGTACTGATAATATATAGGTGAGAAGTAATAAGTGTTGTCATTATTTGATTATGCTCGTGTAATAACAATTTATAGGTTTGTTTATTTTTACTGCGATGTTGACCGATATATTTTATCTTTTGTTTCAAAAACATATTTTCAAATTGAACGTCGCACGTTCTAGAATAATATGAAAGATTAAGTTTATCTGTCTCACATCTTTCACAATTTCACAAGCATAGGTAATGAATTAATTCACGTTAATGTATACATTTTTTTAAATTATGAACAGTAAGGATGTTAAAAGTATAAATTCGGCAATACACTAATATTTTCAACATAATGTTTTCAATTTCAATTCAATTTCAATATTTTCAAAATAAATTCAACATTTGAACGCACAATGTTCATATGCTTGCTATAACAAATACTTAAGTTACACATTTGTAGAATAAATCCTTGTAACCATAATTGGCAGATAAAAAACGATAATCACTGTTAAGTTGTTAACTAACAGTAGCTACCAGTGCAGTTACAGTTCGTCCTTGAGAATCTAGAAAAAGATATAAATATTTTTCCTGCTCTACGAATTGTTCTACACTTTTTCTATGATCATATCATTGAAATTGATCATTTTCGTTTTACTATTCAAATATTCAAAGGTGACAATGCAATATAAGATGAGATGAGAAATGTATTCTATTTTCAAAATCATTTTATCGAATTCTCTTATTTTGCATTCTAAATAAGAAACATGTCAAAGTCAAATAAACATATTGTACATTATATGTTTTATGCCCTACTACTTGGTGAAAAGTAAAGTTTGGCCTCTGTCTGTCGAGCTGTGCTGCCCGTCTGTTGAATGACATAACAGTGAAATGCGGGGAAACTCGTATCTTATGGACCAGATGTAGTTTCATTTGTATTTTATACATGAGCCGCGTCACGACAAAACCAACGTAATGCGTTTGCGACCAGCATGGATCCAGACCAGCCTGCGCATCCGCGCAGTCTGATCAGGATCCATGTTGTTTGCTATCAGTTTCTCTACTTGTAATAGGGTTTGTAAGCGAACAGCATGGATCCTGATCAGACTGCGCGGATGCGCAGGCTAGTCTGGATCCATGCTGGTCGCAAACGCATTAAGTTGGCTTTTGTCATGAAATAGTTTTTTCACTGTATAGGAATATACATACTGAGCTAGAGAAATAACGTTAAGCTTCTTACGCATTTGATCTACCATTAAATTGACCCACATTGTTCCAAGTAAATTTCCAAATCAAATAAGACAGCATGATGAATAAACAAAGAGATTAATGTCACAACGACTTTTTTTCTGAAACGAATTTCCTTAAATTAAGCCATGACCAACTTTCTTCTTTTATAAGATTACGAAGTTAATGTACACAGCAAACTATTTGTAGAGTGTTTGAGAAAGAAAGCGTTCGCAATTATACCATAGTTTGACATAATGAACATTATACTTCATTATGAAACTAATAGATAATTTGACACGTAGTTATGATTTAAATCTGTTTTACCGTCCCGACGTTTAAATAGAAATATTTTAGTTTTAGTACGTTATGTAATAATATATTTCCGTAAAAATCAATAAAAACATTCTGGACAGTACGTTCCTGTTATTCCGTTAGAAGGTTTTGGGCTAAACAAATAGCATATATAGACAATTTGTCATCAGTCATGGTAGTAATCAAGTTAAATCCAAATATTTTAAGTTCCTAGTAAGTCTTAAATGTCACGCCATTCAGTGTGTTAAAAGAAGGTTGGGATTCGCCGCAGGCGGGAGTTTTATTACATGCAGCCGAGGACATTTATCGTCTTTGGGATAAATAATGGCTTTGTCTGAAAAGACACCGTTGTAACAATTTCGTGTCATAATAAATTGACACAGTTTTAATCGACATTAACTCACATAAGTACTGCAGTGAATATCGTATTATTTAACTTAGTGAATATCGTATTATTTAACTATCACTTTCATATCAACTTTAAATCAACTTTATCTCTCCAAGATATTAAAATGTTAAGGAATGCACTATATGTATATCGAACGATATTCTCTTATTATCGAATTTTCTAAAATTTTGACTCTGGAAATCCAAATGAATAATGCTTATGACATTTAATACAATATTCTGTCGAATTTTCTGCATATGTTTTAATTCATATGCGCATTGTTTTATTTCTTGATACAAACAGAAATAGACTTTCATAGCTTGTTCTTGTGTACAGCATAATCGTTAGTAATGAAATCATCACATAAATGTATTATTTTGTACAAAACTCGTAGTATTTTTTGTACTTGATTAAGAAAAATCAATAAAAATCTATAAATATATGAGCTTCATAAATGACATCCAATATTGCTAACAAGCTTAAACTTAAATATTTTAACATTTGAAGCAATGCTATGATGCAGCAACTTGTGGCACAATATTCTAAACGGGCTTTAATTGTGCATGTTACAATGTTTATTGCTGACATATTAATTTGTCTGATGTCTATTTAAAACAGTAACTGGTCTTGGTTGTCAATATATAACTTAATCATATACTTTAGAAAACAGAACTGAAATGTCTTAATCCAATTAGTCATGATGTAAAATTTATGGGTATAAATCTTTGCTGAAAATAGTTTTTTGGGGTTCCGTCAAAGAATGAGATGATAGAACTTGATGTTACGTCCTTTCTAATTGTTATTTGAAAAGCGTCGGGCAAAACGCGAAAGTCTAAGTAGCAACCATACATTATTTCTTATCGGTATTCAAATATAATGCATTTGATGTTTTTCGCGAGTTAACTTGATTTTAATTGAACACGTTTGTAATAATTAAATATATTCTTGGTGAATTCTTCATAAATACGATGATTAAAAACGTCCAATGTGTTTGATGATTTTACAAAATAATCAAGTTTATTTTAATTAGAATTTCTGAAAGGCGAAGAAATGGGTTCTACATTTCAAGCATTCAAGGTCAAAGCAGGAAAAATCGTATCCGACATAGAGAAACGCTAGAAAATTTTCAAATATTTCAATTTGCATTACTGGTTCTTCGTGCGATATTCTTCTGTAAGAAAACAATCAGTAATACTAGTGAGTGAATATATGACTGCGAGCTTTTATAAAGTGTGTGTTTCAAATAAATGTGAGACTTACTTACAGTCCAGCCATTTACAATGAATATAAACACCGTCTTCATAACAAACACTCCTCATCGGTGTAAAGCCGTTGTTGAAAGAATTGAGTTTAACGGTCCCTAATCGCCCGTTTTACTCACTTGATCTGGCACCTTTTGGTTATTTTTTTTTTACCTTCTTGCATCTTGCCCAGAGATGTTCATCAAGATGTGTGCTTTGAACATGTGTATTTTAGTGTCTTAACAGCATACCTGTTTTGGACTTTGAAAGAAATCCTAGCTAATGCGTTATGTTTATTTAATCCTAGCTAAAGCGTTTTAAATTCTTGACGTGTAAAAGGGATACTTTGGAATGTCATAATAATAATATCTACATGTAAATGTGTAAAACAATTAAACGAAGTAAAGCTGCACTGTTTTAAAGCATCCCTTGTTATTTAGTTTTTTTAATCGTGCGGTGATAACAACTTGTTTTATCATTTAATGCCCTTTGTATATAAATATTTAACAGTGATGTAAATAATAGTTAATCAATTCGAATATGACAGCTATGATTATATAACAGTTAAACATAGTAAAAAATTCGTACTTAACTGACAAACTTCAGGTCACATCTCCAGATACTATGAGACATAGTTCAAATTTATTGACATTTTAAGCGTATAAAAATTATCTGTTAATTCCTGTTCATCTGTTAATAAAACGACATGACTGCCTGTATGAGTTTAGCTTTGTTTTGCAGTCAAATTGATGTAAAGATTTAAAGTTTGTTATAATTTAACGAATTCTTCAAACTAATCAAACAGAAGCTGAGAACGATTACTAAATTCGTTACAATATTGTTTGTATATGATAAAAATATAAAAAAGTGCCAATTTATAAATAAAGATCAAAGCCGAAACGGATTCAGTACAGAATAAGGTTGTTGTGTAATATTAGCATCACTTTGCTTAATGATGCTCTTTCCTTTTATTTGTAAATTTGTCTTTCTTTGATTAGCGTTTGACTTTATCTAGTTCTGGTATTTTCTTTCGTCAAAAGATGACGGCTTAGAGTCCAAGAATTGATGTTTGAGACATATAATGTAAATATACGACTAATGCAAATTCTCTTACAATCTGTCGTAAGTAAATATTCCCTCAAACAAGAATACATTTGATTATATATTACCCCATGTGCATATTTGGAAGTATTCTCTAATCAAGTACCATTATATTATATTATAGAACCATTATTTACATTTTGACTCGGGTAACGTTTTCAATAGCTGTCTTACATTCCATTACAATAACTGTCTTACATATACCAAGCGAATCATTTTAACGTACGTGATTCTTATTAAGCCGGTTATTTTTTTAATGAAAAATGGAACGGTCTTATTGTAAATCACGATTACAGTTTTTATGTCAGAGATGGGTTTTAATGATAAATTGCAAACTTAATATTTGTGTATGTATTTGAACTATTTTTTTTATAAAATATTGTGTCGAACTTCATACAAACATAACATTTATGATTCAAATGTATTCATATTGTCAAATAAAGTTACTGAATTACGTAAAATAATGTTCAATCGACAGTGATGGTTTTGTCTTGTTTGTAAAACAGATTTTGCGTTACTTACATAATTGATTATAAAATGTGATATATACATAGCATGCCAAACTCAATTAAACAGTATTATTCAAGAGAAAATTAACCTAGAAAGAAATCAATTATTTACTTTTAAAATCAACTGAAACATATATCATTCCACACAGGGTATTCAAGAAGTTTACATTGAAAAGATGAAGAAGAAAAGAATTGGTATACTTTGTAACACAATAGTAAATAACTCTTTGGTACTGCTCTAAGATACACCGAATAAACATACTTATATTT